AATATAAAGATATAACATATCAAACAAATAAAATTTTTTTTTCTCAAATTTTCGGGGTGCTACACTTACACATCTATTAAAAGTGGTCGGACTGGGGATGGAAACTACTGATGATATGGGTGACATATCCAGGGACCTGCACATTAACACTGTCAGTGGTTACCTCAATAACAAAATGCGTAAGTTTAATTATGGACATTACAAGTTTTGTCATTTTTCATCAGCATTTTGTAGTTACTTATAATTCGTCTAAGTTAAATATTAGATGCACGATTGTAGTGTTTTCGTCATAAAGTATGCACAATATTTGTTGCATAATGATTTTGTCAATGTTATTTGATACTACGAATGCCAGGCTTGAAATTGCAGCATTGCTATTCGAAAATAAACAACTACGGCAAGTTGGAATGGGAAAATCAAAGTCAGATGACTGAACTAATGTTGATGGAATTGTTTTTATGATAGATTAGGTTGATAGCTATTCGAAGTTAGACAAAACACGTGTTTTATGATGTAGTCGATAGATGTTATCTTTATCTTTGTAATATGTTTTGGAATTGAATGCAATTTTTTTTCTCCAGTGCTTGGTACAAAGGAGGTGAAAGTATTGGTCTTTATGTGTATAGTTTTGATTATATCATTTAAGAATTTTATGGAGGTAAAAGTTTACATTTGCACAGTCCGAACATGTTACAAATCATCACAATTGGTCACACATGGTTAATGTCTTACATAATTGCAAGTCACGAATGGTCACAAATGGAAATAGTTGATCACAAATGGTCATAAATGGTCACATATTCTTAACATGTATGATTTATACATTTTTCATAAATAGTATACACATAATTGATCACATCTAGTCGAAGATGACATTTAGACTCGGTTAAAACACTCAAGTCAATTAACTTCGAATTTTATTCATAGTCGGTCACAGACGACCACAGCCAAACAAAAAACCTATAGCTTATTACTTCCTTTTGTGCTAGAAATGGTCACAGTTCATTGCAATCATTGTAAATAGAGTCGCAATCAATGTCTGTTCACACCGTCCTTCCCAGAAACACATGTGACATCCTGAAATGTATTCTAAGCTCTATGCATAAATATGTCAACTTATATAATCCAAACAATACATAGTTTGGCAATAAAATGAAACAATTTGCAATTACAAAGAATATCCTTGTGTAAAAAAAAATTACTATGCTAAACTATTTGAATTTCTTTGGATCTTTCGTTGCTTTCAATTTGTTGTTTTTTTGGTTAAGTGACAACATGTTCCTGCATGTTTGATAATTGTGACCAAATTCACTGCATCTTCCACATTTCACAACTTGTGATCTTTCACAAGCTGGCTTCTTCCTCCTCTCAGTAGGTCGGCCAGAACTTCTCTTTTAGGTTGGATCAAGTACAACTCTACTATTCACATCTTTCGACAAACTCCATTCTGATTTATTACCTACAGGAAAGACTGTCTCTTTGTAGGTATTCAAATATGCATATCTTGTGTAATATATCGAGCAAAAGTCATACACATTCAGATTCAATGTTGCTATCATTGCCAGTGCATGTGGACATGGAAGTTGATCCACTTGAAATATTCTATAACTACATATATGTTGAGTTATATCAATCATGTACGATGAAGAATTGTCTCTCACTTCAAACAAAGTGTGACTTGCAGGTGAAACCTGAAAATACAAAATATTTAAAGTTATACCTGTGATCAGCAAAATAAACATAGTTTGCTGTTTTTACCTTTAGATTTCTCACATCATTGCTCGTTTCCCTCACCATCTTCTCATAATTGGTTGTAAGCTTTCTGAAAGTGCCATATACGTTATTCCTATTCTTACAAAACCAAGATTGGATTGGTTGCCGCAATGATTCTAGAAGTGCTTGAATTGGGTAAGTCTTTGTTGCCTTCATGACTGCATTTATATATTCTACTATGTTTGATATCATAGTAGAGTATCTATTGTTTAACATGTACAATCTTGACCATTTTTAATATCCAACATCCATCTAAAAAATAATTGTAGTTATTAGATAATGTATTCAAGTATAAGTAATAACAAGTCACATATAGTCATAATACTAAAAGGTTTACAGATAGTCTATATTATCACAAAACACGTGACAAATAGCCACATTCATAAAATATATCATTTTCAATTGTAACTGAGGCCACATAATAAATATCCAGCGATATATTTCATTCATAATCATGTTTCAATTTCATGTAACAATAAATGAAATATAGTTCATACATTAAACATGCAAGAAAGAAGATATTCATGGACATTTCATAATATCACAGAACAGGTCACAGGAGGTCACAATATATTTAGTTCATACATTAAACATGCATGATCATAGATATTCACAGACATTTCATAATATCATAGAACAAGTCACAGGAAGTCATAATATATGTTACAGACAGTCACATACCAAATATCCTCTGATCTCTTCATTCATTGAGTTTGATTACTGCATTTGGTATTCAAATTCATTCATTGTATACGCTCTAACAACAGAATTGAATGCATTTGTAACATTGTGACCTGATTTTGCGTAATGAGTCATCAAATTTTTAAGCAAATGGTATGAACAGATCCCATACATTGCCTCTAGATATACAAATTCAATGGCATTTGTTATGCTATTGTGTCTATCTAATACTATACATAATCCGTCTCTCGGTCCATATGCCTTTTTCAAAATTTCAAGAAACCACCTTCGTGACTTATCATTTACATTATCCCCAATCCCAAAAGTTAGTATGAAGATGTTATTGTTTACATCTTGTGTACAAGCCGTCACTCCCATAGTGGCCATTTAAATGTGTCATCAACTACAATGACTCGCCTACAATATTTTCAACCAGCGATCGATGCACCCAAAGCCATAAAACAATATTTAAATCTATTTAAATGATCTGTTTCTATTCTTGTAATCGTCCCCATGTTCATCTGTTCTAGCAAAAGAAATAAGTCGATAGCAACTGAAACGATGTCGTTGGATCACCTCTAATCAATTATAGTATTTGTTCACGTGACTTCCACGCTTTCACATAATTCACTGATACTCCATATTCATGTAATATGTCATTCTAGATATCACTAGGAGTGTATATTGTACGTGAAGATGTGTATTTGTACCTAATGCTGTTTGACATGGTTGAGCTAGATGCTTGCCGATGAGATCCTAAAACAATGTTCATCGACCATGTTTGACCATTATACATTTTCATGATCTTAAACATTTTCGTTTCTCCCAAGAGTGAAGATCTAAATATCCATTTTCAATCATTATGCAAACACTTTACCACGTACTCCTTCTTGTCCGATTTCAACACTTTATATTCAAACTTCTTTTGTATAGCATAGGAGGCCCAGCTCATTTTTAGTATGTTCTTGTTGCGAAAAATATTTCCCTCCACTACTGCTCTTGCATCTACTTTGGATACCAATGTCACATCATTTTCAATGTTTTCTTTGTCAACGGTCACCGCTGAGCTACAAATTTTTTGAGCTATTTGTTCTAAAGAAAACACATTAGCTGATGACTCGACGGAAGTAGTTGACGACTCTAGACATTGCAATGTATATCTTGATTGCCATGAAATTGTAGCGATAACATCAACCATAATAGGATAACTCGATACAACCACATCCAAAGATTTTATCCTCAAATACGGTAGAACATTATTATTGCTCAGAATCTGGACTGGAGGTAAACTAGAATTCAAAGAATATGTCATTGTCACAACTAAATTTGCACCATTAAGCCCCAATTCTAAAAGAACATGCTCGACCAATTCATTGTACTTGCATGTATCATTAAGTAGTACAAGTGACATGTGACCTCAGTACAATGGGTAAATGTGTAAAACTAGCATTCTTAATCATACATAGAAAATTTAATTCCTCTACAACCGAACTTCAAATTCTCTCGAAAAATGAAAATCGGAAGTATGTCTATAGAATTGTGACCTCATTCATTGATTGTGGCTTAAAATCGAGGATTAACAGTGACTATATGTTTACCTTCGACATCAAACCACAAGAGTTCAGTTTTTGCTTTGGGAAAATTTGATTCCGCCACAGCCAGCTTCAACTTCTCCAAAGCAAATTAGAAGTATTTCGACAGGATTGTGACCTTATTCATTGATTGCGGCTCGAAATCGAGGATAAACGGTGACTTTTTGTGATTTTAAAGATGTTCGGCGAGATGAGTTTGTAGAGAAAGTGTCGTTTGGTTGTGAGATGACTGGGAGAAAAATCTTTTAAATATAGTATAATTAGATTTGTAGGAGTTAATTTGGTATAGTATATTTAATCCAAACTTAGTGTATATTATATTATAATTATATATGTAATATTATGATTTACCACCTGATTTATGAAACTTTTTAAGGAGTTTGTCAATTTTGAAATGTGTTTTTATAATGTAATAATTATGTAGTGTTCCCAACTGTCATTCCTAGTAATTCCACATCAATAACCTATAAACACACCAGCCAAACCCCAAAAACACATTGGATGGCCCAATAAGCTTCGGCCCAATAATCCAAGACTAATTTCCCCTTAGTCACAGTATCGACTCCTCCCATTTATTCTAAGAACTAGTGAAGTTTTTGATTGAGTAAATGCAGCAATACTGTATATAAGTGATTGCAAGTTGTTATGTTGGATCAAGAATGACTATATAGTTCTTGCCTATTTAATTTATTTTTAAGATATTTTCCTCTCTTATTTCCAAAATCTCTCACACTTTTACAACACATTGCCTACTAGCAACTCTAGTATCAACAATAGCTTAGAATGCAACGATTAGATCATACATAAATAAGTTTTAAGACCGCAAAATTAAAGAAACGCTAGACGTTGAATTCATAAAACACAAAAATCGATCGAAAATATAGGTTAATATAATGTTTTCGTTGAACTAAATGACTAATATATGCTTTTATGACACAAATTCTTTATATATCTTTATCGACCTTCCATTACTGTGAAACTTAATTCATTGCCGGAACTTCCTGCTGTAGGCTTACTTGATGAAGTTTCAGCTTCATGAAATAGATTTCTTTCTGTGAAAAAGCCGGGCTCTTTAGGCTTAGGCAATGCCCCTTCACTTGCCAACATTAGTACAACATTTGACATACTTGGCCGGTCTTCGGGATTTCTCTGTACACATAATAGTGCGACATGCATTGATCGAAGTACTTCAGACAAGTACCACGATTGAGCTAAATGTGAGTCTATTAATTCTAGAGATCGTCCTTCATTGTGTAGAATCCATGCCTAATTGATGAGTCGATAGAATCAAAGTTAGATAAAAGAATTTGAAGAGTTGAGTATGTTGGAAGAATTAAAGTAAGAAACAAAAAACTTACATGTCCAAGCAAATTGTGATGGTGATCGTGATGATAAAATCCTCTATTCTTTTGTCCGCTTATGATTTCCAGAATGAGGACGCCAAAGCTGAATATGTCGGATTTTACTGAAAAATGACCATCGACTGCATATTCTGGTGACATGTAGCCACTGCAGAACAACAACTATAGTGAGATTTTCTCAGGTAAAGAAAGGAGAGAGAGCTTATAACATGGTTGGTGTCCAAAACTTGACAATATATGGACAAGACTCAACTTATTTTTCTTCATTAGTATTGCCCAGTACTTTGCAACCTAACTTACCAAACAAGCTAAGTATGAATAACTTATGTTAGAGTCCTTACTATGTACCGACGACTCTTAATGTGTTTGCTTCGGTTTCATTTCCTCCAAAACTTCTCGCCATGCCGAAGTCTGATATTTTCGGGTTCATATCACCATCCAACAAAATATTGCCAGCCTTGAGATCTCTATGAATTATTCTCAATCGGGAGTCCCGGTGAAGATAAAGTAATCCACGAGCAATTCCATTGATAATTTGAAACCGCTTTTGCCAATCTAACAATCTACCTTGATCCTTATCTGCAAAAATTTCGCATTTAACATGTTTGTACATATAATTGGACATGACTATATTGTGTAATCGACCTCGACAAAATGAAATATGATAAGAGTGTTGAGAAAAAACTAACCAAATATGTAAGTATCCAAGCTATTGTTAGGCATGAATTCATAGATAAGCATCTTCTCTTCTTCATGAATGCAACATCCAATAAGATTCACAAGATTCCTATGTTGTAACTTTGCAATTAAAATTACTTCATTTTTGAACTCATCATCTCCTTGTATTGAATACTTTGATAGCCTCTTCACAGCAATTTCTTTCCCCTCTTTGAGTACACCCTGAACAATTTTGGTATATATAAACAATTACGTTAATATTATGTTTAAATTACCAAGTAAAATATAAAATTTACCTTGTAGACTGGTCCAAATCCACCTTCTCCAATTTTGTTGCTAGGTGAAAAGTAATTTGTAGCCTTTAATATTGTGGTTACATCAAACAATGGTAGATCAAGATCTCCATTGTCATTCTCTACTGTGTAAAATTGTCTTGAACTGCTTCCTATTGATCCTGTGAAAAATGGAAGAGACTTTTTATAAATGATAAGTACACAATTTTAAAAAGGGGCAGTGGCAAGACTCAATGCCAACGTTTTTGTTAATTCTGTAAGCATGATGAACTATCTACCTTGTCTAAAAGTTCAAATCATTAGAGCTGGTACACATTTATTGATTTAAATTTAGCCCCGGTTTGGTTTAAATAAAAATTTAAGTTAAAGTCAATAATTAGTTTTGATCACACATTTCTTGCAATTCACAACTTTTATCGACCATTTCAACCATAAATTTATCAACTTTTATCAAAATACTAAAAATCTTTTTTTTTTTTTTAACAAAATCAAACAGGGGCTTAATCTTGAACACGCCCCTCATGTGCTAGCTGAAATTCATTTTTCATCAAAGACTGCACCAGTATACAATTTTCATAAATGGGTGTCAAGGAGACTCGGACCCACCTTTGTTGGCTCTAATACCACGATAACCGCCTCATTTAAAAGATTAAGAGTGACATATAAATTTAAATCTTCAATGAGTTTTAAATCAGAAAATGGTGCAATCTACTTGACCAAAAATATCAAACGTATACAGAACATTCACCTTCTCTAGTTAGTTGTTGCTGTTGTAGTTCCTGCACTTGTCGCAGTTTTTCTCTATCCTTCTTCTTCTTCCAGGTAAATGATATGAGTATGAGACACAATATAAGAACTGCCCCAAGTGATGCCAAACATGCCCTAAGTATCCTCCTTTTCAACCCACTTGAGCCTATCAGAGTTTACAACACATCACTAGCTATAAGGCTTCATAAATATTTAGTGAACATACAACAAAAACGATAATCAAAATGTGACCACATATTAATCATCTAACATATTTAGCCCCTGTTTGTTTTACATTATTTCAACAAGAAAATTAATTTTTTGACCCTTTTTTTCCCAAAAAGTGGAGCCCACTGTGACACAAAATGGTCCACTATTGTGGCTAATTCACTGTAGCAACGGCAAAAATCCTTCTTAATAGAGGAAGCAAATAGAGGCTTAATAGGCAATGGTCAATACCAAAATGCACATTATACAACGTATATTGGAATAAGCTTGGCTCAACTGAATTGGACATTTAATAAGTCAAGTACACTAGTTGAAGTAAAATATATACATCTTTGAACGAAAATATTAAAACATACCTAACTCAGAGGAAGCCATCCTAATGTAGATGTCTTGACCGTCGCTTCCGTCATAATATCTAATGTCCATCAGATTGTCAAACCAAAGAAAGCAACCACTTCCTTTCCCTCTTATATCTATATTGGAATAAGCCATGCAAGAACAATTATCCATACATATTTTCCGGCATTCCTTAAGTGACATGGTCAAATTATACCAAGTTTTTCTTGTATCGGGTAGTTTAATTCCAGAATACTTTATAAAACCATCGCTCTTACAATTCAAAGGCGTTTTACGAACACAACCATATGACCAATCGGCTGAGAGCCAATCTTTTGGGTTTATAGGCATAAATTTATCCAAACAACTACAAATTGGAGAGTCTCCAATTGTACAACTACCATATCCATTACATTGTCCATAAAAGTCACAATTATCAGCTGGTGCACTAACCAAATTAGTCCAAACCTGGGTTTGATTATTCCACGAAAATCGTCGAAGAACTCCATCCATACCCAATACGAGCCTCGAGTAAACGTCAGGGTTAACGAGATCAAAGCTATAGTATACTTCTTCTTGATTGAAAACGAATTGAAATGTGTAGATCGGATTCGGTTTTAGGCCCGGAGACCCACTAAACGCTAGACCATTCCATGGTCCTGATCGAAAACGTACGCTTGAACCACTCATCATCATGTGTTGTGGATATCCATGAGTATCCATAAAATACGTAAAATCTCCCCGCGAAGGATCGTTGTTACCCTTCCAAGAATATAGAATCCAATGAACACCCGTCACAAAATTATTCCCCATTTTCATCCCGGGCAAGGCCGTGTCTGTTGGATTATGAAAACTCTGCCACGTGTAATTTCCGTCACTCGAACCTCGTATGACAAGATTTCCCAAGTCGAGTAGTTGCGCGATCGGACTCATAGTGACACTAGTGGAATTGGATGACCATATAACAACACCATTAGTACTATTTTCTAGTACCAAATTCCCATTCTCTGTCAACTTTAAAGCTCCTGAAGTGTCATTAAAAGGGGTATCTCTATTGGCCACCCATACAATTGTTCTTACAGAAATTTTTTTGTACCATATTCCTAAGTACCTGTTCACAGAATTATCTGGGCTGAAGAATCCCATTTCAAATGTTCCTCCTGATGAAACGACGTAGTTTCCATCTGCAAGAGATGTGTTTACAGTTATGGTGTCTACTGCTTCACAAATGAATGGAACAGAGAAAAATAAAGAACAGAGAAAGGCAATTCTTGTTAAGCCTTCCATTTATTTGTTATGTGATTGAATTAGTCTTGTTGCTTAATAAATACTACCATTGGATTTTGGGAAATTTGCAACCTCCGTCCCCAAATTACACACTATGAGCAATTGGATCCCTATTCAAGTTTCTTTGATTTTTAAATCTTTAGATTTTGATTTTTGGAGGACATAAATCCTTTTGGACAAACTGTCAAAATTAACATGAAATGATCACTTGATTTGCATGCGACCACTTTAGACACGGTGATGGAAGGCGATGGCGTGAGGTGTAAGGATTGGGCTATGGATGTAAATGGTTTTATTCTATTTTTATTATTGTTATTATTTTATTTGTATCTCCTTTCGATTTCACAAGAAAAAAGAGGAATATCAAGGTGAGGCAGACGATGAAGGTACCAGTGACAATATATAAAAAGTGAGGATTCGAGAAGATGGATTTGTTTTTTCCTTTGATCATCTATAAACTGTGTTTGTGGATGAAATCCCTCAATAAGATTATTTACTTTTTTTTTTTTCCTTCTATTCTCTTTTATCTCCCTCTTAAGTTGTTTTGAATAATTTCGAAAAATGAATCATGTGTAGAGCACTTGACTGTTTAGCAACTTTTACAACTTTGTTCTACAAATGGATCTACGTGCACCAACTATCAAAAGTTTGGTGGTTTAAAAATAAAAATTCAGTACGGGCCCAGGAGCTCTAATGGTCATAGTTTGAGGACTATGACTGAAAATTTCCTTAACTTTTAAATATCGTTATTTACTCAATTATTTTGACTTATTTCAAAGACTTGGACAATGACTTTATCTATTAGGCCGGACAATGACTTTCCAGTAAAAATCTAATCTTTCGTCATCAACCATCAATTTCAATTGGAAAAATAGGTTTGAAAATTTGTGCTTCTAGAATTCTCATGCCTTACATACTAGGGTAGTTTCATTTGGTGCAATTTTTTAAGAGTATTTTGTATACAATATGAATTATATTGTTTGATCCATATTATTGAGAAAATAATATATTTTAAATAGTGATATGATGGAAAATATACGGTTAAAAAGCAAAAAAAAATTATTGATATGATGAAAAATATTTTTTATTCAAAAATGTGTGGTTTAAAACGAGTTTTGAAATAATGTATTTTAAAAGAATGTGTGTTAAACAGGTTGTGAAAGTAGCTATGTCAACGAATCGAGGCGAACCTGAGCCCAAAAAAAAAGCTCGATCACGACTCGAGCTTTTTTGGCCCAGCTTTTTTCGAGCTCAAGCCGAGCCGAGTCCGGCAAAAAAAAAAAGGCTCAGTCCGAGCTTTGGCCCGAGCCTTAGCGGGCCGAGTCGAGCTAAGCCAGCTCGATTTTTTATTTTTATTATTTTTAATTTTTTTAATTAATCACTGGCCGGCCCGTGTGGACACAAGTCGGTCGAGCTCTGGCCGACCCCCCAAAATGGGGCTCGGCCCAAGCCTGGGCTCTGCCCGAGCCTAGGCTCGGTTCCACCGAGCTCGAGCTGGACCCAACTCTGACTTTTTGTGGGCCAAGCTCGAGCCATCTGAACCGGCGAGCTTTTTTGCCACCACTATGTGAATGTGTGTTTGATGGATATTATTGAAAAAATAATGTATTTTAAATAGTGATATGATGAGAAATGTGTAGTTAAAAATGAAGAAAAATTTATTGATATGATGAAAAATATTATTTTATTAAAAATGTGTGGTTGAAATAATATATTTATAAAGAATGTGGGTCAAATATGACTGAATAAAAAATCCTAAAAAATAATATTATTATGTGCCAATTTTGACTTCTTTTTCATCTCCTTTCGCTTATCCAGGCATTAACTTTCTTTGACTCGATTAAAAAATGATCAAACATATTGAACTCGAGGAATTGCAACTACTCTCTCTTTCACTATCACCTACCCACCACATACTTGCTAAACCATCAACTGCTAGAGAAAGATCTTTTGATGAGAAACAAACGTAATTATCAAAGTCAAAACTTACTCTTCACATAGATAGTGTCGAAAGTGAAACATATTTTCATATTAAGCCCCTGTTTAATGCACATTTTGGAAGTAAGAATGTATTTTTACTGTTAATGTGATGATAAATATGTGGTTGAAAAAAAAGTTATTGATGTGATGAAAAATATTATTTTATTGAAGAATGTGTGGTTGAAAATGAGTAGAAAAATGAAAATGAGAAAAATAATGTGGCTCAAACAGAGACTACAACTATCATTCTTGTATCTGCTATGATCTTTCTAAACTCTTAACACTAAAACTATTCCATAAGTTTACCTCCAAAACTCACTAGGTGCTTGGGTATCTCTATTTATATACCATGACGATATCACAATTCATTGAGATGATTATAACTTTTTATTTAATTATTTTATAAAAAATAAATAGATTGTGTGCCTTCCGATGGCTAGACTGCCTGTCACCTATGCCAGCATTTTTCTATACCTCTCAATGTACGAAACTTTTTCTTTACATCTAAACTTGCATTTTTCTGTCTTTTAGAATACTGCCTAGTGGAGGAGGTCATGTCACCTATGCCAGCATTTTTCTATTCCTCTCAATGTACGAAACTTTTTCTTTACATCTAAACTTGCATTTTTCTGTCCTAGTGGAGGGTGTCATGCCCCCTCACACTCTCATACTAGCTAGCAATTCAAATATAATGAACACAGAGTACTCATAAGTGGGTGATGCAATGTGAAGTTTATCAACAACGTAAGAGGCGTCTTGGTCTTCCATCACCTCAATGAAAATGGGCTCTAACGGCCCAATAATTTCGCATTGGAGATTCAGAGGATGCATGTTTTTGTATATGATATTGAATAGGAATCGAAGTATCTAGGGCTCTTAGACTGATGCATATCCCAACCCAACTCATACTTTTGGTTAGTGGTGGCAAAAAAACTCGTTGGCTCGGGCTCGACCCGAAAAAAGCCCAAGCCGAGCCCGACTCGGGCTCCGGCCGAGCCCCATTTTGGGGGGTTGGCCCGAGCAGGGCCGGCCCGTGTGCCCTTGATTAATTAAAAAAAAATTAAAAATAATAAAAAAATTTTAAAGCTAAAATAGCTAAAAGAATTAAAATAAAAAATCGAGCCGGCTCGAGCTAAAGCTCAGGTCGAGCCTTATTTTTTTTTTTTTTGCCGGGCTCGGGCCCAAAAAAGGTTCGGCCAAAAAAGCTCGAGTCGAGTCCGAGCTTTTTTTTCTCGGCTCGACTCGTTGACATAGCTACTTTCGGTTAGTACTTCCCAGAAGTGCAAATATAATATGTCTAGATTAGTCCAAGTCGATTTGGGTAATCCAATTATTTGTTGTCTCGCTTAATTCTATATAGTACATTGCATCCAACATGCGATTAAATTCGTGCAAATGAAGAATCGCCAATTAATAAATTGAAATTACAAATACGACGTACATGTAACCTCTATAACATAATACTTAATAGAACCAAGAGAAAATATTACAAAGGGCTATTTATTTATTGATAATTTAATAATTTATTAATTTATCAATAAATATTTTTCTATTAGTTTAAAGATTACCATATTCCTAAGTACCTGTTGACAGAATTATCTGGGCTGAAGAATCCCATTTCAAATGTTCCTCCTGATGAAACGACGTAGTTTCCATCTGCAAGAGATGTGTTTACAGTTATGGTGTCTACTGCTTCACAAATGAATGGAACAGAGAGAAATAAAGAACAGAGAAAGGCAATTCTTGTTAAGCCTTCCATTAATTTGTTATGTGATTGAATTAGTCTTGTTGCTTAATAAATACTACCAATGGATTTTGGGAAATTTGCAACCTCCGTCCCCAAGTTACAAACTTTGAGCAATTGGATCCCTATTCAAGTTTCTTTGATTTTTAAATCTTTAGATTTTGATTTTTGGAGAACATAAATCCTTTTGGACAAACTGTCAAAAATTCTATGAAATGATGACTTGATTTGCACGCGACCACTTAAGACACAGAATTCTCTTGTAAACATTACAGTTCTTTGAAAAATAACAAGAGGTGCGATGATAGAAGGTGATGGCATGAAGTGTAAGGATTGGGCTATCGATGTAAATGGTTTTATTCTATTTTTATTATTGTTATTATTTTATTTGTATTTCCTTTCAATTTCACAAGAAAAAAGAGGAATATCAAGGTGAGGCAGACGATGAAGGTACCAGTGACAATATATAAAAAGTGAGAATTCGAGAAGATGGATTTGTTTTTTCCTTTGATCATCTATAAACTGTGTTTGTGGATGAAATCCCTCGATAAGAGTTTATCATTCACTTTTTTTTTTCCTTCTATTCTCTTTTATCTCCCTCTCGTTTTGAATAATTTCGAAAAATGAATCATGTGTAGAGCACTTGACTCTTTAGCAACTTTTACAACTTTGTTCGTACAAATGGATCTACGTGCACCAACTATCAAAAGTTTGGTGGTTTAAAAATAAAAATTCAGTACGGGCCCAGGAGTTCTAATGGACATAGTTTGAGGACTATGACTGAAAATTTCCTTAACTTTTAAATATCGTTATTTACTCAATTATTTTGACTTATTTCAAAGACTTGGACAATGACTTTATCTATTAGGCCGGACAATGACTTTCCAATAAAAATCTAATCTTTCGTCATCAAACATCAATTACAATTGGAAAAATAGGTTTGAAAATTTGTGCTTCTAGAATTCTCATGCCTCACATGCTAGGGTAGTTTCATTTGGTGCAATGTTTTAAGTGTATTCTGTTTACAATATGAATTATATTGAAAGGGTGTTTGATGCATATTATTGAGAAAATAATATATTTTAAATAGTGATATGATGGAAAATATGCGGTTAAAAAGTAAAAAAAAAGTTATTGATATGATGAAAAATATTTTTTATTAAAAAATGTGTGGTTTAAAATGAATTTTGAAATAATGTATTTTAAAAGAATGTGTGTCAAACAGGTTGTGAAGATAGCTATGTCAACGAGCCGAGGAGAACCCGAGCCGAAAAAAAAAAGCTCGGGCACTACTCGAGCTTTTTTGGCCTAGCTTTTTTCGAGCCCGAGCCGAGCTGAGTCCGGCCAAAAAAAATAAGCCTCAGTCCGAGCTTTGGCCCGAGCCTTAGCGGGCCGAGCCGAACAGCTCGATTTTTTATTTTTATTTCTTTATTTTTTTTAATTAATCACTGGCCGGCCCGTGTGGACACGAGCCGGCCGAGCTCTGGCCGACCCCCCAAAATGGGGCTCGGCCCTAGCCTAGGCTCGGTTCCATCGAGCTCGAGCTGGGCCTGACTCTGGCTTTTTTTGGGCCAAGCTCGAGCCGTCTGAACCGACGAGCTTTTTTGCCACCATTATGTGAATGTGTGTTTGATGGATATTATTGAAAAAATAATGTATTTTAAATAGTGATACGATGAGAAATGTGTGGTTAAAAATGAAGGAAAAGTTATTGATGTGATGAAAAATATTATTTTATTAAAAAATGTGTGGTTGAAATAATGTATTTATAAAGAACGTGGCTGAATAAAAAATCCTAAAAAATAATATTATTATGTGCCAATTTTGACTTCTTTTTCATCTCCTTTCGCTTATCCAGGCATTAACTTTCTTTGACTCGATTAAAAAATGATCAAACATATTGAACTCGAGGGATTGCAACTACTCTCTCTTTCACTATCACCTACCCACCACATACTTGCTAAACCATCAACTGCCAGAGAAAGATCTTTTGATGAGAAACAAACGTAATTATCAAAGTCAAAACTTACTCTTCACATAGATAGTGTCGAAAGTGAAACATATTTTCATATTAAGCCCCTGTTTAATGCACATTTTGGAAGTAAGAATGTATTTTTACTGTTAATGTGATGATAAATATGTGGTTGAAAAAAAAGTTATTGATGTGATGAAAAATATTATTTTATTGAAGAATGTGTGGTTGAAAATGTGTAGAAAAATGAGAATGAGAAAAATAATGTGACTCAAACAAAGACTACAACTATCATTCTAGTATCCGCTATGATCTTTCTAAACTCTTAACACTAAATCTATTCCATAAGTTTACCTCCAAAACTCACTAGGTTCTTGGGTATCTCTATTTATATACCATGACGATAGCACAATTCATTGAGATGATTATAACTTTTTATTTAATTATTTTATAAAAAATAAATAGATTGTGTGTCTTCCGATGGCTAGACTGCCTGTCACCTAGGCCAGCATTTTACATCTAAACTTGCATTTTTCTGTCTTTTAGAATACTGCCTAGTGGAGGAGGTCATGCCCCTCACACTCTCATACTAGCTAGCAATTCAAATATAATGAACATAGAGTGATCATAAGTGGGTGATGCAATGTGAAGTTTATCTACAACGTACGAGGCGTCTTGGTCTTCCATCATCTCAATGCAAATGGGCTTTAACGGCCCAATAATTTCGCATTGGAGATTCGAAGAATGCATGTTTTTGTATATGATATCGAATAGGAATAGGAGTATATAGGGCTCTTAGACCGATGCATATCCCAATCCAACTCATACTTTCGGTTAGTACTTCCCAGAAGTGCAAATCTATTATGTTTAGATTAGTCCAAGTCGATTTGGGTAATCAAATTATTTGTTGTCTCGCTTAATTCTATATAGTACATTGCATCCAACATGCTATTAAATTGGAGTAAATGAAGACTCGCCAGTTAATAAATTGAAATTACAAATACGACGTACATGTAACCTATATAAAATAATACGTATAGAATCTAGAGAAAATATTACAAAGGGCTATTTATTTATCGATAATTTAATAATTTATTAATTTATCGATAAATATTTTTCTATTAGTTTAAAGATCGTGTAATATTTTTATTGAAACAAGTGTGTTATATTTTTACAGTACAAACATGTATTATTTTTATTAACCAAAATAAATGTAAATAAATAAATAGTGGATGTGATGTGCATAAAAACTCAAAAAATAAGACCAAACATTATATATATATATAAAATAGTCATTAATTTAAATTTTATACTCCAAATCGTTGCATATTCCACAACTTGTTCTTCCATGAATTTTAAATACTATTCAAATAAAATTATTATTTTATTTAGTAAGCGATGTTACTAACTAATCATATCGTGAGAGGAAAGGTAAATCGTAGGAATAACAATAGGGCAAGGCGGAGCAGGGAAGGGGTCATGTGCCCTGTCCCCCATCACGAATTTCTCACTTTTACGTCACATAGCCTACTAGCGACTCTAGTATCAACAACAATATTATCGAATGCAGTGATTAGATCATACATAAATAAATTTTAAGACCGAAAAACTGAAAAAAAAAAAAACGCCAGGAGTTGAATTCATAAAACACATAAATTGATCCAAAGCGTAGATTGATAAAATCTTTTCGTTGAACCAAATTTTAATATAGATGACTAATATATGCTTTTTGCACTAATTCTTTATATATTTTTTATCGGCCTTCCATTACCGTGAAGCTCAATTCATTGCCAGAACTTACTATAGGCTTACTTGATGAAGTTTCAGCTTCGTGAAATAGATTTCTTTCTGTGAAAAAACCGGGCTCTTTAGGCTTAGGCAATGCCCCTTCACTTGACAACATTAGTACAACATTCGACATACTTGGCCGATCTTCGGGATTTCTCTGTACACATAATAGTGCAATGTGCATTGATCGAAGTACTTCAGATAAGTAACATGATTGAGCTAACTGTGAGTCAATTAATTCTAGGGAGCGTCCTTCGTTGTGTAGAATCCATGCCTAATCAATGAATCGAAAGAATCAAAGTTAGATGTAAGAATTTGAAGAGTTAAGAATGTTGGAAGAATTAAAGTAAGAAACAAAAAATTACATGTCCAAGCAAATTGTGATGGTGGTCTAGATGAATAAATCCTCTGTTCTTTTGTCCACTTATGGTTTCTAGAACGAGAACGCCAAAGCTGAATATGTCAGATTTTACTGAGAAATGACCATCGACTGCATATTCGGGTGACATGTAGCCACTGCAGAACAACAACAACATTGAAAGTTTCTCGTGTAAAGAAAGAAGAGTGAACTTAGAATATGTTTGGTATCCAGAACTCGACAATACATGGACAAGATTCAACCTTGTTTTTTTCATTAACATTGTCGAGTACTGTTCAACCTAACTTACCAAACAAGTCAAGTATGCATAACTTATGTTGGAGTCCTTACTATGTGCCGACAACTCTTCGTGTATTCGCTTCAGTTTCATTCCCTACAAAACTTCTCGCCATGCCGAAGTCTGATATTTTTGGATTCATATCAACATCCAACAAAATGTTGCCTGCCTTGAGATCTCTATGAATTATTCTCAATCGGGAGTCTTGGTGAAGATAAAGTAATCCACGAGCAATTCCATTGATAATTCGAAACCGCTTTTGCCAATCCAACAATCTACCTCGATCCTTATCTGCAAAAATTTCGAATCTAACATGTTTGGTACATAGAATTTGATAGGACAATATTATGTAAACAAAATGAAATACGGTATAGTTTTGAGAAAAGCTAACCAAATATATAAGTATCCAAGCTATTGTTAGGCATGAATTCATAGATAAGCATTTTCTCTTCTTCATGAATGCAGCATCCAATAAGATTCACAAGATTCCTATGTTGTAACTTTGCAATTAAAATTACTTCATTTTTAAACTCATCATTTCCTTGTATTGAATACTTTGATAGCCTCTTCACAGCAATTTCTTTCCCCTCTTTGAGTACACCCTGAACAATTTTGGTACAAATAAATAATTGAGGTTAATATTATGTTAGAATTATAGTTCAAATTACCCAGTAAATTATCAAATTTACCTTGTAGACTGGTCCAAATCCACCTTCTCCAATCTTGTTGCCAGGTGAAAAGTAATTGGTAGCATTTAATATTGTGTTTACATCAAACAATGGTAGATCAAGATCTACATTGTCATTTTCTACTGTGTAGAATTGTCTTGATCTGCTTCCTAGTGATCCTGCGAAAAATGGAAGGGACTAATTATAAACGATATACAATACTTGAGAAATTAGAGAGAAGATACATTTACTGATCTAAATTTAATTTTGAGCACTCCCTTTCATGTGCATGTTGAATTCATTTTAATTCTCGGGCATGACAAGTACACAATTTTAAAAATGGGTAGCGACGAGACGCAAAGTCAATGATTTTGTTAATTCTGTAAGGTGAACTAGCTACTTTATCTAAAACTTTAAATCATTAGAAATGTGACACATTTATTGACTTAAATTTAGACCTTGTTTAGTTTAGCAAAGAAGTTGATAAAAATCTAAATCAAATTCAAAAATTAATTTTAACCTCACATGTAATGAGATTAACAACTTTTCAGCATCATATTCCATCAACTTTTATCAAAATCTGATTTTTAGCAAAACCAAACATAGGCTTAATCTTCAACACAACTCTCATGTGCTAGTTGAAATTCATTTTATTTTCATCACAGACTCGACCAATGCACAATTTTCATAAATGGGTATTGGCTGGACTTGTATCCACCTTTGTTAGCTCCAATACCATATTAACCGCCTAATTTAAAAGCTTAAACTTTTAAGCTACATATAAATTTAAAATTAAATTTAAGTCTTTGACAAGTTCTAAATCAGAAAATGGAGCAATCTAGTTGGCCAAAAATATTAAACATAAACGAAACATTCACCTTCTCTAGTTAGCTGTTGTTGTTGCTGCACTTGTTGCTGTTTTTCTCTATTCTTCTTCTTCTTCCATGTAAATGAGATGAATATGAGGCACAACAAGAGAACCACCCCAAGTGATGCCAAACATGCCCTAAGTATCTTCCTTTTCAGCCCACTCGAGCCTATCAGATTTTACAAAAGATCATTATCTGACTTTAAAAAAAAAGACATTCCTTTGACATAAACAAATCTCCTTTAAGAGGTCTAACGGGGTTGCTTTAATTTTGTCTACCTACCCATTTTCTAACATTTCCATTGTGATTACATCTTCCTCGTTAATGGAGGATCTTAAGGCGCAAAATCTTCAACAATTTAAGTCGCATTTTCTTTAAACTATCCTCAATAATAATTACTATAATTTTCATTTGTTGGCTTCTAGTCTATTTCTTACTATCATTGCTTTAAAATGTGACCACATATTACAAAGCACATTATAAAACGTATAGTAATAGAAGTCTATAACCGTCTCATTTTTGTTGAATTGTTTTCATGTCTAGTCTTGTAGGGCTAAATCTTAGTCTACTTCAAGTGAAAGGGTTCTCAATCTGCAAAACAACCATCGACTAGTATAATCGGTCATCTAAAAGATGTGAAATTGCCAATTGATTGTTTTGCAGATTTAGTTCACTCTACTAAATCTTAGTCTACTTCACATGAAACGGTTCTCAATCTGCAAAACAACCAACAATTAGTCTAATCGGTCATCTAAAAGATGTGAAATGGCCAATTGATTGTTTTGCAGATTTGGTTCACCCTTCGAGTGAACTTTACCATTTGCCCCGCACTAGTTTGAAATCTGTTGTGGTTTGACCCAAATTCTAGTGGGTATTGAATTCTAAATTGTAGTAGTCTTGAAGAGATCAAAATTATGGATTGAAGGAAAAAAGTCGAGGCATTTCGCTAGCTTGACGCTAGTTGGACGCTCGAGCGAGCCCAATAGAAAACAACTCGAGACTTGGTCGTTCGCCTGGCGCTGCCCACCCCTTGCCCGCCTGTCGCTCAAGCGACGGGGCTGTCGCCTCCTCTCACTCTACTGACAAGCATATCCGGTCCAAGCCCGTTTTCTATTTTGACACGGTTTTGGACTCATATTCTTCTACAACTTGTTCTCTTGGGTTTATGTATATATGTATGGCACGACTTGTATAGAAAAATATAACATAACATAATTGAGAGATATTTATATTTATACTAGCAGATGGATGATTGCTATGTAGGAAGAAATAGAGTCATTAAGCAAAAATAACCCTTGAGACTTGGTGAAATTACCTAAAGGTAAAAAGGTTGTTCGCTGCAAATAGGTCTTCAAAAGACAGGAAGACACATCATAGATAGAAGGCTAGATTGGTGGCAAAAGGGCTATAATAAAATTCCAGGTGTTGACTTTACAAATGTGTTCTCACCAGTTGTGAAGCATAGTTCCATCCGGACTTTACTTGGAGTGGTGACTAAGAATGACTTGGAACTTGAGCAGATGGATGTCAAGATAGTATTCTTACACGGAGAACTTGAGGAGAGCATCTGCATGCAACAAGTTGAGGGGTTCACAGTCTCTAGGAAAGAAGACTATGTGTGCTTGTTGAATAAGTCTTTGCATGAACTAGAGCAATCGTTGAGGCAGTAGTATAAGAGGTTTAATTCATTCATGACTACTTATGGTTTCTTCAAATGTAATTATGATAGTTGTGTGTACTTCAGAAAGGAAGATTGTGGATCGACTACATATTTGTTATTATAAGTTGATTATATGCTCATATCAGCCAAATATAAAGCAGATGTCAGAAAAGTGAAGTTTCAACTCAACAATGAGTTTGATATGAAGGATTTGGGTGCAACAAAAAAGATTCTTGATATGAAAATCCTGAGGGATAGAAGGGCTGGCAGGTTGTATTTGAGTCAGAAATGGTACATTGAGAAAGTACTTAAAAGATTCAATATGGTGAATGCGAAGGCTGTCGTATTCCCTTGACTGCCCACTTCAAATTATCATCTAACTTGTGTCCTCAGTCAGATGAAGACATTGATTACATATCTCGGGTTCCTTATTCTAGTGCAGTTGGTTCGTTTATATATACTATGTTTTGTACAAAACCTGATTTGGCACATGCATTTAGTGCAGTTAGCAGATACGTGGCAAAATCTGACAATGAACATTCAAAAGCAATGTAGTGGATCTTCAGATATTTGAGGGGCTCTTCTAATGGTTGTTTACATTTTGGTAGAAATTCAGGAGTCATTAGGTATGTGGATTCAGATTATTCAGGAGATCACTGACAGGGATGTGGTTACCATTGGAGGCTGTGCTATCAGCTGGAAAGTTACTTTGCAAAATACAATAGTTTTGTCTACAATAGAAGCGAAATGCATGGCCATTACAGAGGCATGTAAGGAGACTATGTGGCTGAGATGATTGATTGGTAAAATCAGTGAAGACTTGCAGATATCTATAGTATTCTGTGATAGTCAGAGTGCAATTTTCTTGACTAAGGATCAGATGTTTCACGAGAGAACTAAACACATTGATGTGATGTATCATTTTGTACGTGGTGTGATTGCTGTGGTGATATTGTAGTAAGTAAGGTTGATACCAAAGATAATTTTGCTAATATGATGACAAAACCACTTCATATTGCTAAGTTTGAACATTGTTTGAACTTAGTTGATGTTTGTCATTGATTTAGTCTATTAAGGTTTGTTTGGAAGATGAGTGGTGTTTATTGATGGAGTCGTGACTTGGAATTCATTGTGTTGAAATATGGTTGAAGGTGAAGATTTTTTGTGGTTCGACCCAAATTCTAGTGGGTATTGGAGTCTAAATTGGAGTGGTCTTGAAGAGATCAAAATTATGGATCGAATGAAAAAGTCGCCGCATTTTCGCTAGTTTGGCACTAGCTGGATGCTCGAACGAGCCCAATAGAAAACAACATGAAACTTGGTCACTCGCCTAGCGTCGCTTGAGCGACGGGGCTGTCGCCCACCTGTCACTCGAGCGACAGGCTTATCCGGTCCATGCCCGTTTTAGATTTGACATGGTTTTTGACTCCTATTCTTCTACAACTTGTTCTCTATAGTTTATGTGTGTGTATATGGCACGACTTGTATAAAAAAACATAACATAACATATTAGAGAGAGATTCATACAATATCTTGAGAGTTTTAGATTTTAATTGAGTGCATTGAGATCTTGTAAACACAACTGCTATTAATTATAGTGGATTTCTCCTCCTCTGCACGTGGTTTTTTCCCGTAATGAGTTTTCACGTAAATTTTAGTGTTTATTTTCTTGTTTATTGTCGTCATTATCACTCAATCCAAAATTCATAATAAAGTCCAATATATACACCTTTAAACGAAAACATTTAGACGTCACGTACCTAACTCAGATGATGCCATCCTAATGTAGATATCTTGACCATCATTTCCACCATAATATCTTATGTCCATCAGATCATCAAACCAAAGAAAGCAACCACTTCCTCTCCCTCTTATATCCATATTGGAATAAGCGATGCACGAACAATTATTCATACATATTTCCCTGCATTTCTCAAGTGACATGCTCAAATTATACCAAGATTTTCTCGTATCGGGCAATTTTATTCCAGAATACTTTATAAAACCGTCGCTCTTGCAATTCAATGGTGTTTTACGAACACAGCCATTTGACCAATCGGCCGAGAGCCAATTTTTTGGGTCTTTAGGCTTAAATTTATCCATACAGCTGCAAAATGGAGCGTTATTAGTGTCACAACTACCATATCCATGACATTGTCCATAAATGGCACAATTATCAGCTGGTGCACTAACCAAATTAGTCCAAACTTGGGTTTGATTATTCCACGAAAATCGTTTAAGAACTCCATCCGTACCCAATACGAGCCTCGAGTAAACATCAGGGTTAATAAGATCAAAGCTATAGTATACTTCTTCTTGATTGAACACGAATTGAAATGTGTAGATCGGATTCGTTTTTAGGCCCGGAGACCCACTAAACGACAGGCCATTCCATGGTCCTGATCGAAAACGTACACTCGAACCACTCATCATCATGTGTTGTGGATATCCAACTCATAGGTATTTTATGCATTTTAGTCCCCGCGAAGGATCGTTGTTACTCTTCCAAGAATATAGAATCCAATCAACACCCGTCACAAAATTCTTCCCCATTTTCACCCCGGGCAAGGCCGTGTCGGTTGGATGATCAAAACTTTGCCACCTGTAATTTTTATCACTTGAACCTCGTATGACAAGATTTCCAGAGTCGAGTAGTTGCGCGACTGGATTCATTGTGACACTAGCAGAATTGGTTGACCATATAGCAACACCATTAGTACTATTTACAAGTACCAAATTCCCATTCTCTGTCAACTTTAAAGCTCCTGAAGTGTCATTAAAAGGGGTCTCTCTATTGGCCACCCACACAATTGTTGTTACAGAAATTTTTTTGTACCATATTTGAGTATCCATAAAATACGTAAAATCTCCCCGCGAAGGATTGTTGTTACTCTTCCAAGAATATAGAATCCAATCAACGCCCGTCACAAAATTCTTCCCCATTTTCACCCCAGGCAAGGCCGTGTCGGTTGGATGATCAAAACTCTGCCACCTGTAATTTCCATCACTTGAACCTCGTATGACAAGATTTCCAGAGTCGAGTAGTTGCGCGATCGGACTCATAGAGACACTAGTGGAATTGGTTGACCATATAACAACACCATTAGTACTATTTACAAGTACCAAATTCCCATTCTCTGTCAACTTTAAAGCTCCTGAAGTGTCATTAAAAGGGGTCTCTCTATTGGCCACCCACACAATTGTTGTTTCAGAAATTTTTTTGTACCATATTCCTAAGTACCTGTTGATAGAATTTTCCGGGCTGAAGAATCCCATTTCAAATGTTCCTCCTGATGAAACGACGTAGTTTCCATCTGCAAAAGACGTGTTTACAGTTATGGTGTCGACTGCTTCACAAATGAATGGAACAGAGAAAAATAAAGAACAGAGAAAGGCAATTCTTGTTAAGCCTTCCATTAATTTGTTATATGATTGATAGTCTTTTGTTATGTAATAAATACTAACGGATTTTGGGAAATTTGCAGCTTCAGTCCCCAAATTATACACTATGAGCAATTGGTTCCCTACTTCCCTATTCAATTTTCTTTGATTTTTACATTTTCAAAGTTTGATTTTTGATGGACATAAGTCCTTTTGGACAAACCGTCAAACATTCCATCAAATGATGACTTGGCTTGCATGTGACTACTTTAGACATGGAATTCTCTTGTACACGTTATATTTCTTTGAAAAAGAAAAAGAGGTGCGATGGCAAGAGGCGGTGAGGCGAGGTGGAAGAGTTGGACTAGGGATGAATATGGGTGGTTTTTATTCTATTATTATTATTATTATTATTATTATTATTATTATTATTATTATTATAGTATTTTCCTTGGTTATCACAAGAAACATGAGGGAGTTTGGGGTGGCGGTGAAAATAGGTGGAAAGTGACAATTTGAGAAGAAGATTGGTTTTGTTTCATTTTTTTAACTATTTTTTGATTTTCTATAAACTTTGTGTTTGTGGAGGAACCCCTCTATAAGAGTTAAAAAAAAAAAAATGCAGGGCCCAGGAGCTCTAAGGGATATAGTTTGAGGACTATGGCTGAAAAATTATCTAATTTTTTACATTTAGTCGTTATTTTGACTATCTCATAGACTTGGACTTTTCTACTTGTCCTGACGATGACTTTCCAATAAAAATCCAATCTTTTCTACTTGTCATGACGATGACGATGCCGATGTTTTGCACAGGTTTGAAAATTCGTGCTTCTAGAATTCTTATGCCTTGAGACTTGGTAGTTTCATTTTGTGCAATGCTTGAGAGACAATTTTGTGTGTACAATATGAATTTTATTGAATTTAATTTCCTTTTTAAATAATATTTTAAAATTCATTTAACTTTTTTTTTAATAATATTTTCTAAGTGTTGCTCTTATTCATCTCCATTCGCTTTTTCGTGAGTTGCACTTTGTTTAACACGTTAAAAAATGGTAAAATGTCATTAAACAAGCCAACTTCAACTTATTGAAATCAGGCAATTGTAACTACTTTCTCTTTGACTGTCTTACTACCTTCCCACAAACTTACTAAACCACCAACGGCAAGAAAACGAGCTTTTGCTGAGAAGGAAAAAAAAAGGTAATTATGAAAATATCCTAACTCATCGCGGAAAGAGAGTTGAAAGTGAGACGTATTTTTATGTTGAAAATAACACATTAGTGTTCGTTTTGATCTTCCTAAACTCCGACACCAAAAGCATTTATTAAGTTTTCCTCCAAAACTCAGAGGTCCTCGGGTCTTCAATCTATGCACCACGACGATAGCACAACACAAAACATAGCATTACAATGGATTACGACCATATAAACTGATATTAAGCATGACTTACGTTAAATATCATTACTCTTTAAGCACATGTTTGATTCTCATTATTTCAAAACTCATTTTTTTCAAACTCACCAAACATTCTCACAATAAAATATTTTACACATAAATATTTTTCAAACCCTAAATATTTTTTTTCCTTACTTTTTTAATCACAGTATTCAAAAATTCACTATTACGAACTCATTTTATTTAAATAGCGATCATCAAACAGGGATAAGTAGATTGTTATATTAATTCATTTTAGATTATTTTATATAATATCCAACTGAAGTTTAAAATTATTATTTACCGCACTTGTCGAAGCATTTTGTCTCTAGTTAGGACCAAAAAATGCTTTTGCTCTTAACAAAACTCCGGATCCTTGATCAAGAATTTATCCGATGAAAACTCGAAGATGCAAGAAGTTTTCTCATTAAGTTTACTAAAAAATATTAGGTTTATATCAGGAAAAAAAAACAAAACATCCTTTAATTCATAATTTCCTGAACTTGGAGTCAAAGGTTCTAGTTCGTAGACGACGTATATTTCAAGCTGCTGCTAATTTTATATTCCAAAAATGAATAAATAAATCATTATCTATCTACCTATCCATCTCCAATGTTAATTAAAGAATAAATGGCAAACCTGGATCACTCATTTTGTCAATACCTTGAAAGTGAACATGCATTAAAAGACAAAGACATGCAAAATTGACTCGACGAAGTTACTTCAATTCTTTAGTCAAAACCAAATGCGAGTTTGATATTTCACATTATGATCAGATATATAAGATTTAAGATTTCCCGAGTCGAGTAGTTGCGCGACCGGACTCATAGTACCAAATTCCCATTCTCTGTTAACTTTAATACCCCTGAAGTGTCATTAAAAGGGATCTCTCTATCGGTCACCCATACGACTGTTCTTACAGAAATTTGTGAGACAAACTGCTTCATATGTGAGACTTGTTCTCTTCTTTCTTATACCGTGAACGAAAACACAAAAAAGTGTCGAGGGTTAACAAAAATTACATACTAGCGATAGATACAAAACTCAAAAATACATAATATAAGATTCTTCGGATAACCTGCTTGATCATCCTTAATATGAACAAAACGAAAAAGTATGATACTGATAGAACACATAATCTGCTACATAATGGAATGTGCTAGAAGTTCTGTGTGTGCTGTTAGATGAAATAGTTATGAAACTAGACTCCATGTCCTCCTTAGAGTGCAAGGTGTTTCAGCTTGTCACGACATGTCCCAAGTCACCATAATAGACCTGACACGTGTCGTGCGCCGATGATAGATATCAACTAAGAGCCGGACCAACCACCAAGGCGACTATGACTTGTT